TATATATATTATATGAATCTCGAAAAGATAACTACTATTTTAGAAGTATATATCACAATCAGAACTTCAATTATAAATGCATGAATGACTGCAATTGACTGTACTCCACTACACGTATATCACATAGCTAGCAAGAAAGTTGAAGTCACACAGAACATACCACGGATTAACCGACAGCTCGTCTTTCAGATTTGAGTAAAACCAAGTTTTTTTGTTCTGGAAGTCAAATAGACTGCTGTTTTTCTCGAGGAGGAAACCATACATACTCTTCATCAACGAGGGATTTTTTCCGAATATGAGAATTAAGAAGCACATAGAACTCTGGGACCGTTGCGATGTATTCGAATATCCGTTGAATCCGTTGCTGACGAGACCGGCAGAGACAGAAAAAAAAACACAAAAAGTGTCAATGCCAACCATTTCTGCAACAGCGTATTGTGCCATAGAATGAGCATTAAGAGTATTCGAGTGCATTCATTAAGACACACTTGTGAACAGTGAATCCTAAACCCCAAACCTTAAAACCCTAAAACCACCTCTATGAAAACGATAGACGAACCTAACACCCCTACCATACCCGAGTGACCAGTGCTTTCCGCCCGAGTTGTTTCTGAGGCTTCATCAACTGCCGACGATACGACACTTGGTCCTCTCCATATGCATGCCCGTCTGCGTATGGCAAATCTGTACCGAGTGGTAATAGATATAATGATTTAATGTTAAAATTGAATTTAATAATTTAATAATTTAATGATATATAAAAATCGTTAATACAGGCAGGTTGAGGTGTATATTTGTAGGTACCATTGTGGATGTGTACTTCAGTCCTGTCATGTGTGTCACAGTTTCACTATGACTTGAGATAGTCCTAAAACACTAAACCCTAAACCCTATTCGAACTCGAGATTGCTAAATATCTTGTGTATGTAAGTCTTTGGGATCCGATTTAATTTAGGGTAACGTAACAAAAATAAATTCTACAACAAAGAAGGCCTCGGAATATTAAATTTTAGAGGTTTTTAGGGGATTCTTTTTTAGGGGTATAAGGTTCTTTAGCGTCTAGTACTCCCCGGGCAAACATAGTTGTTACTTCCAACTCTCATAATGACGCAGCTACAAACCCACAGACCCCACTCTCACCAGACATAAACATGGGTTTAAAAAACTTAAAACCACAGATAAAATATGTCCTAAAATGCGTGTGCAAAAGGACATGAGAATACATCTGTATTTGCAACACCAGGTGCCGCCATTGCTGTTGTGGGGATATGTGTGCGTAGATTGAGAAAACACATTCCAACGGCCCATATGCACGGATGCGTACAAAGCAGCACAAGGACAGTACAAACACAACATATGCACAAGCTAGTATATACACCACGCACTATTACACTAGTTGGACCAATATAAGGTATCGTACCTTCATTCTCCGCCTCCGACGCGTGCCACAACTTCTCCAGTCCGTCTAACTGATACGGAGCCGCTTTAAACAGTGCAGATATGCACTCCTCTGACGCACCCCAATCGGCACTACGCGTGAGTGGGTGGTGCAAGTTGATTAAATTAACAGGAGAAACACACTACAACTACAAACAGTAGATATGCTATATATACA